AATGGGCTAGATAAATCTGTATATTCGGATCGGATTTTAAACTGATCAGATATACAATTACCAAATCTGTATCCGTTTAGTAGTCGGATGTCTTTAATCGGATACGGATAATATCCGTTTAAAACGATTGCAGATTATTCATGTTTAAGCGGATACTGATGCGGACGGTAATCGGATTTTCGGTTATCCATTGACAGCCCTACTTTCGAGTATGCATATTTGGTTCCATCAAGCATTGAATGCCTAGTCATTAATTGTTCTTCTAAGACGTCTGCATTGAATGATCTTTAGGCTATTGGTCTTTGAATTTCCAGCTGTTAAGCTTTTGAGGAAATTACTTGCTCCAATACCAATTGTTAGAATATATATGATCACTTCTACAAGTGTGGTGAATAGATATTTTCAATGCATAATGGATATTTTTCGCAAGGAGGATATGATCACACGACACACACAAAAATTAGTAAAAGAAATGTATAGAGAAAGAGAACGCAAGATATATACTAGTTGGACCTAATGCTTACATCCAATCTTGAAACCAACGTGTCTAAGACTTTACAACCCAACTTCAAACTTAACACAATTTGAGACAAATAACTTGATTTCACAAGAACTCAATTTCGTATGGCTCTTATTTTTTCACTAAAAACTTGATTTCACAAGTCACGAGATTTCTTACACCTAACATTTGATTTAAAAAACGATATAAGATTTCTACCCAAACTTGAAGTTATCACTACAAACTTCAATTCTACAACCATGTCTAACAACAAACAGTTACAATAACCAAAGCGAAAGGTACTCGCAAAAGAGCGGATTGCTCCAAATTACAAGAACTTATAGAATATGAAAATATTAGTAATTGTCCAAACTCAACCAAAGAAATGAGATTCTTGAAGAATATCGTTATTTCATTATATCAAAATTAAGTAGATGAGATTGAAGACTTTAGAACTCTCGAATATAATCGAGAAAGATGGAAAATTAAGGACAATAATTCTTATTGTCAAATATCATGCTAAGGCTAGTTTATATAGGTTACAAATATGATTGTACGGATTACAATGGACATGGAAGACTAACAGCCTTGGAAGATAATAAATTCCGACGTTATATAATTTTTAGAAAAATATAGAACAAATAAAAAAAAGTAGGAAATAGTTTTAAGATCTTCAAAAAAATCTTGCAGTATGAGAGCATTATGCATTTGACTGTAAAGACAACATGTACTGGCTGAAGCAGCAAGCTAGCACACGACACAGTGTGAGGAGCAACAAGGTCTCTAGAACAACATTGAGGAAAATATGGCTCGAAGCAGAATACCAGCGAGGACATTGTGACCCAGCCTCAGGTAGAATGCAGTGAGGTCACTCTAAATAGATCATACAAAAACAAAACACCGTGAAAGGGCAAGAGAGTCCTAAGAACTTTTCTTAATGTAATAGTGTCTGCCTACCGTATTGGGGAACGTGGGCATTTTCCTCTTGGGAAAAAACTGCTATCGTGTGTGGTGGTTGTAAATATCAACCACATAACAACGAACGAGAACATCGTCGGAACATCGCCGACCAAAAACAAAGGGTAAGACCGATACAAAAATGACAATATATTCTCTCTCAATTTTCTTCTCCAAAGTATGGATAATTTTAAATAGGCTAGACTTAAGGTTTGTAACCTCCACCATAAAAATACACTAATGATGGTCATTATATTAGTAGCTCTAACATTAATGGAGTGTTAATTAATGAAAGTCATTAGTATATCCGTTACGCTACGCTGCGTTTAAAATTTGCTCAAAACAATTGGAGATTAATTGCCAGTTAATTCCGTAAAAAGAGCCAAATTATGAGAACTATGCAAAAAATAGAAGATTGGCTCATAAAATTCCTAAAAATTACAAAACCAACCATACTCGTCTATTCACAAATTAAGTCTGAGAATCAATTTCTCATTCATCTTTCTATCATTTTTGGCGTATAATTTATCAAAACGGTTAAATGATTAGTGGACCTATTGATAATTATTTTTAAATTGATCCATTTAATGCCTATTATATGCCAAAACTTTCAACAATATAGAATAAGTCTCAAAATTCTGAATTCTAGTCATTTGGGCAATTTCACCAGCGAAGTAATCAATTACTACCTCAAAGTAATGGATTACTCACGTGAATACATGATTAAACTAAAATTGTCGATAGTCGATTACCTCATTAGCTAATTGATTACTCAATGTTAAAACAATCGGTTACTTATGTTTGTATGAAGAATATGTTCTAAGACTTGAAGAAAATGGATTCTTCAAATAGGTAATGGATTATCGTGAGCTAAAAACATATTTTTTCAAGAACGAACAACACTAAAAACTTTGTTTTGAAAAGCCTTCAAGAATATAACATAAAATGAAGTAAAATCATTTTGAAAGAGATGAGTTTGAACGTTAGTGTTTGCCACACTTTTTAACGATAAATTTAAGTCTTAAAGACCTAAAAATACCAAACTTAAAAGTCTTCATCAAAGCCTTGAATTTTGTTCATGTACATGTCTCTTTTTAGTGACACTGCTCCTACAATCCATTTTTTGGTCAAACTTTTGACATTATCAAACTATAAGGAATTACACTACCCCTTCCCCCTATCCAACATTCCAACCCCATTACCCCTCACCCCCGCAAAACACCAAAATGCTACACACCTTTGCATTTTGGCATTTTGGCAATTGAAGGGAGGAAGGAGAGGGTTTGGGGGGGGGGGGGGGGGGG